AATATTATGGAAATTTCCCATGACGTCTGAAGTGTAAAGGAAGTTTCTGGGACATGTGAGTGGCTAGATAAATCCAAACGATATATGACGAATATCAACATTTCAACTGAGAAATATCTTTTGGTTAGTATTAAAATAGTAACCTCCAGTCACGTTATTTTCTGTATGTGTTTATCTGGATAACTATAAAGATTATATACATTCCGAGAGTGATATAACGAAAGACTGTTGTTTTAAATTAAAGCATTTTGTTTAATATTACACATATATATGTGCAATTATGTGTTTCTTTAAAAACTGATAACATGAAATTCACATGTTCGTAGAGTGAACCAGTTTAACTTGATAAGGATCAATTGGAATTTTTGTGAAGGATCGATTAGACATTTTGCGAATTTCGGACCATGGATCAGGTATATCTTGTACATTTCTCTTGTTTGAAAAAAAAAACGAAAACATTGTGATGTTTTCTCAGACTGTTCTGTCAACAATTTTATCTTTGTGATGTTTTCTCAGACTGTTCTGTCAACAATTTTATTTTTATTTTTGTGATGTTTTCTCAGACTGTACTGTCAACAATTTTATTTTTAAAGCATTGCATGAATTTTAAATCGTCCTTTTAACAAAAGTGGTTTATAATAGAATTATTTTCTTTAATCGCTACTTGGGATTATGTTCAATAATCTTTACTTTATTGTCCATTCTATTAATACCTTTATCATTTTGTTAGATATCTGAAAGTTATTGTTACGAAATTTCAGTCCCTCCTAATATAATAGTATTAGAAGCATCGAAATCTATCAGGAAAGGTGAAAGCGCTCTGTTACAATGTGCTGTGAGCGGGGAGCGCCCTCTGACGATATCCTGGATAAAAAACGGAAATAGCATTGATAAAAGTTTTCCCAGGTAAGCGAAAAGGCATAGATGTCTATTGCATGAAAAGTTTACATTTAAACTCTAAAATAAAATGAAAAAAAAAGAAGGAAAAAAGTATATTTTATTGTTCTGGCCAAATAAATTTTATCAGAGTCTTAAAGATAAAATATAAGGGAGGGGTGGGGGATGTGGCCTGAGTTAGACATTCAGCCCAAAAGAAAGCAGTAACAAAGGTTTAACGTACGAAATTGAGTTTATAGTAATCTTCTTTCTAGCGAATGATAGGAAGAAAAGTATAATAAAATATATTCTGTGTTTTGAGAAAAACTAATTAGTGGTGTATATTTAACCTTTACTGGTAATACTGAAGTTCATTTTGAACAAATTAAATTGTCTAAAGCAAGCTATTTCAATTATTAAGATATTTCTTTTTATGTTTAAATTCTTAAAAAGTTTTATTCTCTCGGGACATCTGATATGATTGCATTTTTTCTATTAACAAAGTAAACATTTTCGTTTCTTATTCAAATCAAAACTTATTGTACGTTGCATATACAGTTTCTTAAAATTATTAAAGTAATAATATAAAGATTGTATTAATAATTGAATTAAGGTACGATAAGTTTGAGGAAGAAGTAGCTGATGGCCTACAAGCAAATCTCGTTATCAATGACAGTGAACGAGAAGATGAAGGGCGCTTCGTGTGTAAGGTTGAAAATAATTATGGTGAAGCACAGGGCACAATTCAGCTTCAAATAAACGGTTAGTAGCATCATTATAATTGTAATTATATATAATTCTATGATTGTTTTTAATTAATTCACGGTATGCATATTTTTAAATTTGTACTCTTTAACAATTAATTCCAAAGTAATTCCCAGTATTTTAACTGCATGTAACAAGAAGCCTTTTTTTTTAAATATTGTATGATAGACGTCACCGGTAAACGTGGAAATTAAATCGTTTGTGAAACGAAAAATGACGAATGTCAATGTTTAAAAAACAGAAATCCTTCAACCACTTTAAGAGTAAGAGTGGTATAATTCATTCAAAGCAAAAATAATTAAAATCACAGTCATCACAAGCTTATCTATCTTAATTTAATAGAATAATTATCAGGAAATAGAAAGTGCAAATTTAGAGAATAATATTTTATAATAATCATTTTTATTATTTATATTGTTACGTCTCTGTTCGTTTGTTAATTTTCCGTAAAAATTCTTTCCGAAGAAACTTTAGCGATACAAGTCCTTTCTTAAATAAAATTAGTTTGTTCTTTCTCAATACAACTTTGCAATACACTTAATTTCCACAGTCAGTTTAACTTAAACAAACTCTATAATTCACAAAACACGATTCACGCACTACCGCGCTTGACTCATTTGTCCTTCTCTATCTCTGTCTGCAATTCAATTCCCTTGTT